GCAAACAATTCCAGTTCTTCAGTTGACTCATCCTGTGCAATTAAAACGTCCAAAATCTTTATATGGACCACCTGGAAGTGAAAGCCATTAATGAATGCCTGTCAGAATTCCGACCTCTATTCTATGTCTGATTCGTGGATGATATTTTCCTATTATTCCACAAAAATATGGACGAACTGAAAAGGTTGGAATCCTTCGTTGAATTCATGATCGGAGGAGATAAACCACTCTCCATCTTCTCTGCACGTGCTGGTGAAGAAGACGCCTACGATTGAGTTTGATTTTTCCGTGTATATCGGAAACTAAATACTCCAATCGATACCTACACCCGTCGTCATGTGTTCATCCAGGATTATTTAGGAACGTGGTGAAGAGCATGCGCCTATGAGCCTAGGAGACCTGCACCAGCACTTCTGGCCTAGACGCAGAAATTTAACATCTTCACCAAGCGTTTAACGGTTGCGAAAGGAGGATACCTCAGGTATCTCATCGTATCACGAGGTACCTTAATGAAATGGGGTTTAGAGTCTACTACAAGACTGGCAGAACATTGAGCGACATTTTATTTAGAAGGTACTTGCCAATTAATAATCCTGAAGATGTGTTAAATGTAGTATACAAAGTTCAGTGCAGAGATTGCGACAAGGTGTATATTGGAAAGACCAATCGGAAATTGAACATCTGTATAAAACAGCACTTTGCTTCAGTCTGTCTTGGACAGGCTGACAATCTGGCGTTGCCCAATATGTGAATTCTGAAGACCGTTCTTTTAATCAAAATAATATGTATAGACAATGACCAATCTAAATTAGATCTGGTATGCTGCATATTCTGGCTATGAATAGCCGGGTGTGCATTGAATACACACCTTATATGGTTATCAGTGAAAGCTGGGGTGCAATCACAAAACTGATGCGCAAAATCAGGTCAGAATGACAAAGGTCTGATTTTTTTAAATGTGAACATCGTTCAGACAGCTTAACGATGTTTTGATTGTATAGGAGGAGCCAATTGAAAAATTCGCATTGTTCGCTTGTTGGACATAATTGCCTTCAAGCAGTCATTTGTACTCCTGTAAGCCTTGGTGATGCTGCGTACTGCGCAGTGAAATACGTTGGTATTAAACTGCATACCATCTACTGTATTGGTGTTGTACTGCATACCATGTACTGTTTGGTGCCCTAACCGTGGATCGTTCATACAACTATATATGAAGGTAAATGGTAGTTCACGATTACTAATGAACTTCTGCTAGTGAACAAAATTATTAGTTCTTTCTTATAAAATGTTTCAGATTTTCTGATCATTTACGAGATGTATCCAGTATCCATTAAATATTTTTAGGGTATGCCCATAAAAGTCTAAGAATATGAGATGTGGGTAAGTTCATAAGATCTGATCAGTCCAGTCAGAGCTAATCCTCATTTATACTCCTACTTGTTGCATGTCTGTCATTTAAAGAAGTTGAATAAGTTGAAGTGGCAATAGGCCAGATACGCTATAGAAACTAGCGACTATCGCT